CCACGTTCTCATAGGTCTATTGCATTAATAGTAAAATGTCCATCTGATATTTTTAGAATTCCCTTTCCCCCAGAAATTAAAAAGGAAAAAGAAAAAAGAAAAAAAAACAGCTACCCTTACAGATTCAGGAAAAACAAATAGTCTTTATAAAACTGGAACACTAAAGTTTCTTCAAAATTTACTACTTCACCTTTTCCTTGAGTTACAGCCCTCTGTGCCTCTCAGAGATCACCTTGGCCAACAGTGGTTAATCTTCTCAGCAACTGCTTCCAAAGTTATGTTCTATCCTAAGGAAAAAAAGAAAAAGAAAAAAAAGAAAAAAAAAAGAAAAAAAAGAAAAAGAAAAAAATACCTTTGAAAATATATGCAGAACTGCAGACTTTTTGATCTGCCTGCAACAGATTAGAGCTTAATAAAGAGTTTTAAAAGCAGATGCAGGTGCCTTACTCCCTTGCTGCTCTTTTTATTATGAAGAACAGAAGCTTCTCCTAATATATATAGCAAGGGAGACCCTTCTCTATTGCTTTTATTGAAAAGACTGAACTTGTGACATCACTAACCACCTTCCTATGGCTGAGTTTGCCTCATCTTGCCTCAGTGGGCTTGGAAAAAAAAAAAAAGAATAATCTATGGTTTTGCTAATATGTCAGGAACTAAACAGTGCCAAACCCTTTTAGATGGCTTACTATCACATCATGATCCCATGTCCTCCCCCCCTCCCCCCCGCCGAACCTCGTTTGTCATCCACAAAATTTGCTCTGCACTTTTCTCCTGCCACCTACACAAATGCCTAACCCGTGAGCACACTCCTCCCAGTACCTAGCCTCACCACAAGCCTGAACCTCCTCTGGTGCAGGACTTGACAGAACTCCCCCTCTTCTCTTGTCTAACACAATTTTCTCCGCTCCAAAAAGGCCTGATTCCGTGTCCGGGCGCCGAGAAGAAATGGGGCTCAGGTACTTGCCGAACTGTGCCCCGGTGCTGTTCCCTTCACCCCCATATGGATGTGCCGGGGAAGAGAGGATGAGGCCGGAGAAAAGGAAGGGCCAGTGGAAAGATCCTTTGTCACAGGTGTGGGGTCGGGAATGGTGCTAGGCGGAGCTATTTCCATCCCCACATCTGTGCCGAAGCGTCAATCCGCGCATCCAGCACCCCTATGAGACAATGAGATTTTGGAGGGATGCCGTGCTTGGCTTCTGTCTCCTTTTTCCATACGTATAAACAGGCATAAATCAGCTTGCTTATGATGAAGTTGACCTGCTAGGTTGGCTCGGACGGTAAGTCTCTGCTTCAGGTTTGATACGTAGTTCCTGAGGGGAGATTAGGGCCAGGGGCTGTGGGTGGGTGGGTGGGCGGGCTCCCCAAACGCCAGTCAGGATCGAAACTTCCCCTGAAACCAAAGCAGACAAGTGGGACAGGTTCAGGTAACTGGGGAGGAGTCGCAATTACAGCCCGAGAGAGACAAAAGGAAGTAAATGACCCCCCCCTCCCTCCCCCCCGTCCGGTGCTCAGAGGCAGGCTGAGTTGTCAACTCTGCAAACTCCCCATCCCTCACCTTTGTGGAGTTCTGCCTCTCCTCCTTCTCTTGTTTTACTCGCAATAAAGCGTTTTCATCATTTCCCCTCCCGGATTTCTTTAACCTCAGTTGCACTCGTCCAGGGCTTCAGTTCAGACAGGGAATTTAACCTCCCTAGTCTTCCCGGGGTGGAAAAAATGGTGTTCAGCAAAACACAGCCTTACTGACTGCCTGAGAGTCTGGAGGGGAAGGGAAGGGAGAGTCAGAGCAGTGATTGCTGGCCTCGTCCTGCGAGGACTAGAAATTCCCTGTGATTTACGCAGCCCCAATCTAGCAAGGTTCAAAGCCAGTGAAAGTAGCTATCGAAGAGCATAGTGTAAAGTCACGGCATTTTTTTCAAAGCTCGCAGGGTGGTCTCGAGGGTGAGCCTGCTACACAGCTCAGATTGCAGATTTAGGTGGTCTGTCTAGCACACACTCATTCTCTCTCTCAACCTGTTATCGTACCGCCCTGCTATCTGCAGCTCCCACGAACTCTGCTGGGCTGTCAGGTGTGACTAACACCTTAGCTGGTGGCTGGGGCACTGCAACTGTCTGGGTGAGGACATTGCTTCGAGAAAGAGAAAACCGTTTTCTCCCCATCAACAAGTCCCAGGCGTGTCGTGGCAACCCATTCGTGCACAGTAATCCTCTTTATTAAACAAGGATAGAGTATCTGAGCAGTACTGCCTCTCCCACCCCAGAGGCAACCGGAGGTCCACAGCTCAGATATTGACACAACGAGCCGTTTATTTAGACAATATGCATTTAATTTAACGCATTCAAAAAAAAAAAAAAAAAAAAAAAAAGGCTGCGTGGAACTGAACAGAGTTTGCCAAATCTTCCGTCTGGTTCCTAGAATCCAGTAGACACCGAAAGGAATAATTATCAAATTTGAGGGCAAAGAGTCAGCTATTAATTCATAAAGTCTGTCCTACTATATATAGCCCCGCGGTGCTCGCGGCTGGCATCCTGCGGCGGCGCAGGCGGCGGAGCCTGGACGGGCTCCAGGGCCCGGGGCGGTGAAGTGCGATCGCGGGTCGGGCGGAGGCAGGCGAGCAGGCAGGCAGCGAGGGAGACCGCAGCCGGGCCGGCCCAAGTGAGCTGTCCATGGTGGTGCCGGGAGCCGCCTGAGATCACCACCCGCCGCCGGCCGTCGACACAGGGCTGCTCCGCGGGTTCTGCCCATGGGGCGCGGCACACGAAAGGCTTTGGCGTTGGGTGGAAGATCCTGGATTCGGGGCCCCGCTGAGGTGCCGTAGGGCTAGGGGCTCCCTACCCGGAAGAGGAATTGGCTGTGCTTGCCTTCTTCATCTCTACCTAGGGTGTCTTCACTTAAACTGGAAACTGTACGGATTTATTTTCAACTTTCCTTCCAAGGAGGCTCACAAATATGCCCACACCATGTGCTTTAAATGCTAACAGCAA